CGCTGAGCCATGTCTGTCCCTGAAGGAAGAGCTGTGGTCAGTGGCACCAAGGAATGCGGAGGTGAGGCCTTAAGTTGTTCGCAGGGCTCCAGGAGGGTGGGGCCTGGACTGAAGCCTGGGGCAGATAGAGCCCTGCCCCCATCTCCCTCAGTTTTCCCAGATCCAGTGAGAGGTGGGATTAGACACCACCCCTCCCTGGCTTGAGCCTCATTGCCTTCTCCAGGTGATCACGAGGTTCAAGTGATATAATTCAAGGATGGATTTGGGCAAAATGCAGAAATAGCCAGGAGTTTGTCATAGGTCCACAATGCCTCATTCAAATGTTTCAGAGTTAAAATTTTTTAGGATTTCATCAAAGGTGATTCAAATATAATATAATTTTCATATACCCAATAATCAAGTGTATGTTCTGGGGTGAAACAGTTACACTGGTGGGATAAATTAAAACTATACATAAGCTCACATTAATTTTCAGGTCAGATTTTGACACCAAATTACTTCGTTGTAAAAGTTCACAAAAATGGGCTGGGCTTGGTGGCTCACGCCTGTAGTCCCAGCACTTTGGAAGGCTGAGGTGGGTGGATCACCTGAGGTCAGGAGTTTGAGACCAGCCTGGCCAACATAGTGAAACCCCATCTCTACTAAAAATACAAAATGAGCTGGGTGCGGTGTCATGTGCCTGTAGTCCCAGCTACTCAGGAGGCTAAGGGAAGAGAATCACTTGAGTCCAAGAAGCGGAGGTTACAGTGAGCCAAGATTGTGCCATTTCACTCCAGCTTGGGTGACAGAGTGAGACTCTATCTCAAAAAACAAAACAAAACAAAACAAAAAGTTTATAAAAATGTTTTAGCTGGGGGGCTGCAGTGTGGTTTTTCATAGTTGCTTTTTAAACCTTGGTCCCAGCCCTTTCTAGCCTCATCACTCAAGCTAGTTGAGTAGGCCCCTCCTGGAAACCATGGGATCTTGGGGCGGGGCGGGGCAGGACAGGGGTCACAGGGCACAGGGGCTGGCAGGGGGCAGCCAGCTAGACAGCCCTGGGGCCTTGGGGAGCTCCTGTGCCCCCTACCACAGAGCTGGCCTCTCCTTGGTCATCACGGAACTTCAATCCTTTGACCTCAGACACTGAATTTTGGGAGGTGACTGTTTCCTTCACTCCACTGGTCACCAGGTGTCTGGGTCCCCCTAAAATGCTCAGAATTTATTTCCTATGACTTCTCTCCATCAGTCTCCTCTAACTCATCTTCCACATACCAGTCGCTAAAGTGGACATGCTTTCCCACTCACAAGCTTGCCTTGCCCCCGTGCTGCCCCTCCTCTCCTCTTGACAGGGCCTCCTTGACAGGGGTCTAGGCAGGGCCTGAGCTGGGCTGTCTCCAGGCTGACGGCACAGCAGGGTTCAGATAGGCCTGGAATTGAATTCCCACCCAGCAGCTCTCCTTCCTGCTCCACAATCCATTATTCTGCTACTCTATTGATTCCAGTGTTCATTCATTCTCTCATGGTTGATTCATTCATTCCAGGATCCAGTCATGCCTCTGTGAACCCACTCACTAACCTTGAGGGACACGCCAGAGAAATCTGTACTCTCAGGGAGTACCAGGTGATCCTTTGGGTTTAGCTCCTGGGAAACAAACCCTAACTGTTTAGAGCACAGGGTTCCCGTTCAGCCTGTCCTGACCCCAGCCCTCGCTCCACCTTCTCCTTGGCCTTGGGGGAAAGAGAAGCAAACTATCTTGAGGCTTAGCTTTCTCCTGCAAGGATTAAATGTAAGAAGGGGAAATCAACAAAGGATAGCCAGTTTAATCTTTGCAGAAGCATTTGAGCACAGATAAGGGCCATGCCCCA